CCTGCTGAGTCCTTTGGGCAGGATGGGCTGTGGTCTCAGTGTTTGCCCAGGTCTGAGCATCCCAAGGAGCAGGGAATATTTGGTCAGTTACTGGAATATTAGCAGCTGAGATCAGGTGAGTGAGCGGAGGTGGTGGCAGTGGGGTTCAGGGTTTCTCTCTGGACTCAAGTCCCTGACTGTAAAACAGGATACTTGAGCTGGATCAGCATTTTCTAAAGTGTGGTATGTTGGTAAACGAGATGATTTATGTGGTTAACAAATGAGTATATGATCTTTAATGATTATGTGTGTGTGTGTGTGTGTGTGTGTGTGTGTATATATATATATATATATATATGTAAATTTCTATTTATGATAGGTTTTGTAAATAGCAAGGAATATGAGCCCTTAAAAATATATATTTAAGCTTGGCCAGTGTCACTCAGTGGTCGAGCATCGACCCGTGCACCAACAGGTCACCGGTTCAATTCCCAGTCAGGGCACATGCCCAGGTTGTGGGCCCCATCTCCAGTGAGGGGCATGCAGGAGGTGGCCAATCGATGTTCTCTCTCATCCATATTTCTATTTCTCTCTACTTTTCCCTTCCTCTCTAAAATCAATAAAGGAAAAAAAAATAAAAAGAAATATATATATTTAAGTTTAAAATGTGGGCCTTTGAAAAGAACAGAACAAAACAAGCAATATAAGAAGTATGCATATGTAAACACGGAGCTGAAACGCCATGAGAAAGACGGCCTGTTGGAAAGCGACGGACCACGTCGTCACTGCGGGCCAGGCGGGCGCTGACCCTCCGCACGCCTGCTTCTCCGGGACTGCTTCCTTATCTGTGCAATGCAGGGGTTGGAGTAAATGTCCTTTTCAGCAATTCTAGTCTGTGATTAGAGGTATAACTCCATCGCACAGCTGTTCCAACATCCGTAACATGTGGTTCTAGCATTTAAAACTTCTAATACTGTATGAAAATAGGAGACCCAATAATTAAGTAGTGGTTTATTCATGCATTTATAATTTCCCCAGTCTCCCTCACTTCTGAAAAGATTCAACCATCAGCCAAATTGAATGGTAGGTGAAAGACTATGAAAGCAGAAGTTAAGACAATTGGATGGTTAGCCCAGTGGGTATGGCTCAGTGGCTGAACATCGATCCATGCACCAAGAGGTCCTGGTTCTATTCCCAGTCAGGGCACATGCCAAGGTTGTGGGCCCAGTCCCCAGTGGGGGTCATGCAGGAGGTAGCCCATTGATGTTCTCTCTCATCCATGTTTCTCTCCCTCTCTTCCTCTCCCTTTCTCTCTCTCTAAAATCAATACAGAAAAAAGAAAGAGAATTGGATGGTGACTTGGCCCCACCACTCTCTGTTTAACAAACAGGTCCCCTGATCTCTTCTCCCTTGGTCTCTGTGTTTTATTCCTGGGGTGACCAGTTTATGGAGTCACTTCTGTGATAGCTGGGGGCATCAAATGGAACAGAGGATTCAAAAAAATCCATGAAAGTGCTATATAAATGGAAGAAATGAATATACACTGAATGAAGAGCTACTTGAAGGGCTCCTCTTCTGTTCAACGGTGTAGCTCCAAGGAAACCTTCCATTTTGCCTAGACATTTAAAACACTTTTACATTAATCCATATGTCATCTTTACAAGAGTCTCCTATATTTCAGCAATGTGCTGCTTGGCTAATTTGAATTATCTTAGGGAAAAACTACAGTGTGTCCACATTCAAGCACCTTCTTATACTATAAGGCTTGAAGTGACACTTCCCCTTTCCCACACTTGACATTTAAAGGGGTACCCCCCAGGCTCCTGAGTAGTCCACTCAGGAGGCACTGTTGGGGCCCAGGTGCCTCTCGCCCTTCCATGAATTCTTGCCAGTTGAGAGTAAATGCTCTGCATACGTTTCACAACTGGTGACTGGTAATAGCAGAGACCTCCGGTTCCTCATTCCCTCCAGCTCTCTTTCTTAAAATGCCATCTGCAGTGATCCCTTCCACTGCAGCGGGGCTGCTACCACCCCTCCACATGCCACCACAAACAGCCACCGGAGATGCACTTCGTGGCCAGGCTGCCAGACCCAGGCACTTCCCTCCTCCGGGGCTGCGGTCAAGCCGCCCCTTCTTGAGCTGTGGCATCTGCCTCTAACTCCTTCTCCTTCCTTTGCCTGCTGCAGGGCCCCGTCTTTGCCCTTCACCCTCTTCTGGCTCCGCAAACAGTTTTGAAGAAAACTGATTCAATTATCTGGGGTTCGATTCTGGTGCCATTCGAACCTATCTAAATATCACTGCAATCTTCCTTCCTTGCAACTTCTTACTAGCACCACATTGGCTCTTGCCTAGGATGTCATGGCCCCTCTCTGCCTTGAACTGTCGGTATTCCACCATCCTTATTTTTTGACGTACTTTCCTCCCTTTGCTCTTCCCCTTCCCTTCTTCTCGGTGAACTCCATTAACTGCTTCTGCATGTGACGACGCCTGCTGCCTTCCCCGGGGACTGTGCCTTGTCTTCCTCTAATGCACTGGAAAGAACACAAGCGTGGGAATCGGACAGAGCGGTGCTCTGATGTCCCGTCTTCTAGTGCCTGTCTTGTTTGCCTCAGCTGTACAAGGACACGGATACCCGCTTCCCAGGTCTGCTGGTGGTTTCATTAGTTGAAGAAGAGCCCTCACTTTCCTTTTTCTCCTTGTAAGTTTTCATCATTTCACTCCTCCTCCCGCCCCACATGAACGAGGAAGGGCAGTGCTCGGACCAAGGGGCGGCATGACCGTAAACGACCCGTCTGGGACACCGTGGGCAGAAGAGTGTGGCTGTAGCGGAGTGGTCGAAGGAGAACATACGGGAGAAACAGCTACAAACTGTGGAGATGCCAAGAGTTCATTGGCATTAGCTGACCTGGCAAAGTCATTTATCAAAACTGTCTCGGTTGGCTCATCTTCCAGCGAAGGATCATCTATTTAATGTGTTAATACAAGGAACGAGCAAGGCATTTAGCAATCACTCAAAATACTAACCGTGTGTGTGCTTCTGTTAAGAGAGAGGGAGGATCTCCTCAGCATGAAAGCCCAGGTGATTTCTTAGCTTTCGTGTCACCGGATTGTGGGGCCTGGCTGCACGTGAAAAGGCCCAACTTCTCATTCTCACGTGGCTAGGAACCTGCTGTGTGATTCTGGGAAGGTTACAACTCAGAAGTACTGTGACTTGTTATTTGTTTTGCTTTTAAAACTTTCCGGGAATTGAGGCGACCCCACCCCCCCCTTTAAGAAAAGGGAGGCGTTCTGGAATGTTATTACATCAGGATGGAGAGGTCCCCTGTGAAGGGGACGTTGTCACTGGCTGAGCAATGCTGTCCGTTGCATAACGGGGTTGTGTAATTTCTCCTTCCACTGTTTTCATTCCAACGACTCAGAGATTCACGACAGGGAAGTTTTGCTTCCGGGCGGTAAACACTTCAGTTAAGTAGAACCCATCACCGAGAAATGAGCAACTATAGAGACGGCAGCCCGAGGGCATTTATTGAACACACAGGTTGACACCAAAGGTGCGCAGGTACACGAAGAAGAACCACCTGCCTCCTGCCTGCAGGGAGATGCCAGCTGAGCAGGAGAAATAGAATGTGAGGCACTGGAAAAACACAGCTTCCAAAGACGTCTGCACGACGGGCACACGAGTGTGGCAGGCTCAGGCTGGGGCCCCACTGCCTCTCGGCCAGCTTCCTGTCCTGCCCAATGTCCCCGCGTCAGGAAGCCGGCCTGCACTGGAGCCAGGTCTGCCTGTTCCCATGGCACACTGTATACACAAGACACCCTGGAGTAGTGGCGGCAGTAGCAGTAGCAGTAATGAAATGCTAAGAATACTGCTACTACTGATAACAATAATAAAAAAGGGCAGAGATGGAGGGAAGGGGGTAGGGAAATCAGGGAGGGATTAACTGGACAGTTCTACTCGAATCTGTTTTATGTTTGGTGTTTATTAAGGGTTTAGCTGTTGTGGTCAAAATTTGTGTGTGTGTGTGTGTGGTCATTTTAGAAGCTTTTGCTCAACATGCTATCCAATGTCAGACTCCCTTCTATTATCAAACAACAATATGAATAAAACCCATACTGAAGAAAAACATTAATTCCATTTATACTACACAAAGATGTCTTTGAGCAGTTGCCATGTGCAAGGCACAATGCTGGGTGTTTCATAGGCATCACCCCATTTATTGTTCCCCAGAACCCTTGGAGGTGGGTGTCACTGTCACCACTGGGCAGAGGAGGAAACTGAGGCTCATGAAGATTGAGCTGATTCTTTCAAGTAACTTGACTAGAACATTTCAGTTAGTAAGAGGTGTGCCTGACTCCAAAGATAGGGCTCCACAGTTTTGCCCTCAAATATCTTTTATACATGATCATTCAGACTATGCTCAAAACTCGGACGATGCAGCTGATTACTCCCCCAAGCATTTCATTTTCCTGCTCAGAAGCTCTGTTGACAGCTATATAGTTGAAAATGTTTACATTGGAGCCCAAATCAGCCAAATGAGCATGAGAGTTGGTCCATCGTTTTCACCCGGAATATGGAAGCAACTTTGAGAGTTGTTTTAGCTTTAGAGGTGTTTGACTGGGAAATAAAGGCTTATCCAGAAGGGGACGGGAGGCGGAGCCTGCGCTTGACTTCTGGCCAGGCTGGAGCAGAAAGCCTTTGTCCTGGGGAAGGGAGGCTTTTTCTTTTCCTAGCTTGGCTGTTTGACCCTCCACAAGGCACTGACTGAGCTTCTGGGAGGTAGGAAACTGAATGAACGCACACAGAGGCTCCCTCCTCCGGATCTCCAGGAGGAATGTAGTTCATCTGTGCGGTTCATCAGTTTCTCTCCAATGCACTGGTGTCTGTCATGTAATGCGTTTACATGAAATGAGGTGACGCACGTAAGACACTTAGCATAGAGCCTGGCACGTGATTCCTGCGTGGTCTGACTCATGGCAATCTTCCATGACTATTTTTTTATTTCCCAGTCAAACATCTCTAAACAGCTGCTGAGCAAGTGCTGAGTAGGGCATCAGGAAGCAGTACAATGCTATTCTTACAGGCTCGGAAGCTGTGGGAGACAGCTGAGGATCCTCACCTGCTAGCCTCCTTGACCTCCATAACCTGGTTGGCAGAGAAGACATAATTCCAGAGTACTGTGCTCACGCATTTAATACCCTGGCTGAGCTCACACTCTGTGCCAGGCCCTGAAGGGGCTGGTGTAGAAACCCTAACAAAGCACGACCTCCGTGCTCAGGAGGGTCAAGGTCTAGCAGAGAAGACAGAGGACAGTCATGTGGTGGGTATGTGCCTAACGGGTCTGCAAAGTGCTGTGGGTCATCAGGCAGCCCACTGATTAGCAGGGCTTCATCTGTGGAGGACTGCCTCTGTGCCCAGGACTCTTCAAAGTGCTGGACGTGAATGAACTCATGTACGCCTCACTCAAAACCCATTGTACAGGTGGGAAAGTAAGGCACAGAGCAGCTAACGTCTGTTGGAGGGTCTGAAGAGAGGGGAATTACCTGTAATTCCCCTGCTGTCTTTCACTTCCTCCAAGGTGACACATCATTCTCTCCTAGATCCCCGAGGCACCTGGAACATATTGCCAGAGGACAGCGGGACAGGCCTGCTGAGCTTGTAGTAAGTCCTGAGGGCTCCCGTGTGTGTGTGTGTGTGTTTCTTTTTTCTTCCTTACCCCTCCTCTTCTTTACATATTCTCTTTACTTCCTGTGCAGATGAAGGCTCTGCCACTTTTCCCTTGGTTTGTCTGGGTTACTCGTATGCCTCAAGGCTCCTGAGATTTAAAGATAGGCCAACTTAGTTCCAAATCCTGATTTTTACCACTTCTTGCATCTGTGACCTTGAAACAGTCATAGGAACTTCCTTATCTTTAACTTGCCCCATGTGGAGTGAGGACAAGGATGCTTACCTTCTCAGGCTGGGATGGAGGTGGAGTTAGACCACAGAGGTAACGGGGGGCATATAATAGGGTCTCCTGCCCCACTGCTCTCGAAGCCTTAAGATTCTTCGCCATCCTGTGCCTTGGGCTTCGCCCTGCATGCAAAGCCCACGCAGGAGAGCTTGCTTGCCTCCGTCATCCCCCCTTCCATCCATCCACCACACCATCCCATGAGTGTCAAATGCAAACCTCATTTCTGATCTCACCCCTTCCTAGGATAAGCTGCTTTAGGATTTCTTAACACCCCAAAACCCTTCTATCTTTCCAGGCCCAGTTTCTGGTTCAGTTTAGTCCTGGATGCCAGCATTTGGTGAGTGATTTCTGTGTCCCAGGCATAATGTCACTCACTTGACCTACATCGCTTCACAGAGTCTCACTGACTTCCTCAGAGGAACATTCTTATTATCCTCATTTTACAGATGAAATTGCAACAGAGAAGTTAATTAACTGGCCCAAGATCCCACAGCTCAGAAGTGGCAAAGCCAGCATTTCAATCCTGAGGCATTTATTCCAGAAGCTACTCTCTTCATATCACTACTGTGCTTCAGATTTTTAACATGTGTCTGAATATCTGTCGTCCAACTCCAACTTAAACAGGTAGCGTCATACTTAGCCACTTCCCAATGCCTTGCTTTTCCCCGAGACAGTTAAAATCATCTTCCAAATAATTACATTATATTGTTTCAAGAAACTCATCTTGCTTTTACAAGTGTATTTTTTTGTATGTATCTCTTTTGTGGAAAGAAAAAATTCATTAAAACACCCACATCATGTTTGTTCTTTTCTATTACATAGCTGAGATCGTCCATCTTCCCACCGAGATGGGGAACGTGCTGGTGAATGTTTCCCAACCAGCTCTCCAGGGGCAGGGAGGGGGTGGAAAGCTTTGAGAGCGTTTGCCGATTTCTGTGGTGTAAATATTTCCACCATAGCTAATTTCAAGATAACACCGTGATGTCCCTAAACATGCAGTTGAGAAGAGATGCTTATGGTCAACTCTCCATAGCCGAAAGATCAGAAATTATAGCACCCCTCCCAAGTTTTAAAATATCTTTTCTTGCTCACATATAAATCACATCAATTTTTCGGGTCCAATTTATGACTAAAATTGCGGAAACCAACATTTATGGAGTGATCTTTGTGTTCCAGGGACTATGCAAATTGCTTGATATCGTGTAACATTTCCACTGGCTGTATTTTAACAGAAAAGAGGACGTTAAATAGGATTTCCAAACTTACGTTGCTCCTTTGCCCTAGTGAATGGTGTATAACACACCAACCTGATGAAGGTGGGCTGAAATACAGAAAAAGAGAGTGTCTGCACACAGGGACATCTCAGTTCTAGCCCCAGTTCTAGCACTACAAGAGGTGTGACCTTCATCAACACACACTTTCTGTGGGGTCTGGAATATATGGCTAAATATATTGACAACGTAGCACGGTTAAGAGATTTAAATGACAGACCCTATGTAAAATACTGAGCACCTTACAGGTGATCAATACATGTCAGCTACTGACCCTTGCTCCTTTCAAGAGCCATTTATATTTTCTCGATCCATGTCGCCTTCTTTCTTATTCTCGAATTCTCTCCACCTGTTTTTCCCTTAGAGCCCACACACCCTCTTCCCTGTTTGCATCAGAGGCTTCCTCCTCCAGGCTGTGACTTCTCTCTATTCGGGATTCTGTTTTCATTCTGTTTTCATCCTTCAAGGCTTCCTTTCAAAGCCTCTTAGCTTTCCCCCTTTGGGTTGCAACACTGTTTCTCGGGCTGTGACTTCCTCAGCCATGCGTTTCTCCTCCTACTGGGACGCCTGCTCCGCCACCAGTGGGGCTCCTAGTCTCTCCTCTTTTCTTTTCCCTCCATTAATTTCTCACAATTCCCCTGCCCACTCCCCGCTGTGGATTTCAGACCCAGCCTTCCTTACTGATGTGTGCTGTTTGCTCTCCTACACGAGAGCAGCCTTCACCGTCCTCCTTCTGTCTTGCATCTTGTACATCCCTTGCTCCTGTGTACGCTCTCCCCAACTCCCAAGTGCATTTGCTGTTCCAACCTCAAATCTATTGCCTTTATGTTTCCCATTTCTTCCCAAAGGACCTCCAGATCCTTCTTCCATCCGCCTATTATTTGTCTTCCCTGTTCATTTCCCCTGAAATTCTTCTAGCTGGGTATTTTCCTCTTTCATGATGCAAAGGACTCAGGGGTGATTGCATCCATATATTGGTTTTGCACCATGAGGGCAACACTTATTTTAGGGGCTGAGTAGCTGGATTCTTGTCACTAACTTGTAGGAGAGAAATGTTTCTGTCTTAAAACATTTTTTTTCTTCATTGATATTAGAGAAAGAGAGGAAGGGAGAGGGAGAGATAGAAACATCGATGAGAGAGAACGAGAACATCAACTGGCTGCCTCCTGCATGTCCCCCACTGATGGTCAGGCTCATAACCTGGACATGTGCCCGGACTGGGAATCAAACCGGCAACCTCTTGGTGCATGGGTCACACCGCTCAACCACTGAGCCACACCAGCTGGGCTACACTGAAATCTCTATAATAAATCTCTGCGCAGAATGACAGGCAGTGGAAACAACATGGACCTGGACCTAGTTTCAGATTCTACACGTCACAGCCATGTGATCCTCAGAGAAGGAATTCACTTCCCTGGGCTCCACTCTCCCCATCAGTAAAACGGGGGAGCAGCACAGTACAGGGTCTAAGAACGAGGCTTTGGAGATGGACAGATTGATGCCCAGTTACTGATTCGTCTTACCAGCTATGCAGTCTTAAGTCACCCACTTCTAATGGCAAGCACTTCTTTATTTATAAAACAGATAAGGTCTCAGAATTAAAGGGATGGTTCAATATGCTCCTGTGTGCAAAATACTGAATGCATTGCCTATGTGATCATACTCACTCAGTACCAGGAGTAACATTACTGGGATACTTCTACCTTTCTCAGAAGAAACAGGGCCCCTCATGCAGCTCCCCTCTCTTGGAGTGCCCTTTCACTTAACCCCTAACATGTCTTCAGGACTCTTTTTTTTTTTTTTTTGCATCTTTTGGAAAGCCTTCTCCAATTGTTCTCCATTGCCCTGAACAGAACCGGTCATCTCCCACTGTCTGGTCTTGGAGCACATTGTCCATGCTCTGTAGGTCTAATCACCTCATTCTGTAGTTGTCACTCTACTTTCAGATACACTATTACACAGTTTCAGAATGTAAGCTTCTAGAGAACTGGACTAGTCTTTTTTTTCCCTCCATTTTTCAGTACCAGACACAATGCCTAGCAAATAGTAGGTGCCCTCTCTATATAATTACTAATAATTGGAAGATTGAAGACAGATGGTAGGTGTTCACTCTACATTTGTGATGAATGAATGAATGAATAAATGAATGAATGAAGACCCAGTTGCCATAGGACCCATGCCTATGCCCCTGCCATAAATCTAATAAGGCAGGGGCATAGGTATGGGCCATCCAGGCTTCCACCCCAGCATGTAGGACCAGGTCAGACTTGGCCCAGCAGGCCGACTGACTTGCTGCTGAAGCCCTGAGGTGCTCATTTGGACTTTTCACATTTCTATAGGCTGGGCTCAGGGCTTGTTCCCAAGTGTGCAGCAGGTTGGAGGATGGCACAGGGTTAAATGGCCCCAGACTAGAAGATAAAAGCAAATCAGGGCAGGCAGACAAGCAGGTCATTAGAGTAATCCGGTAAATTTGGCTCTTGCAAGTAGTAATTCCCAGACAATTTGGAGTTTGGTTGCCTTATCAACTTTCATTTTATTTCCTTATACTTGTCCCTATTTTCTCATACTTATGAAAATGACAGAGAGGAAAAAAAAAAAACTAAACTAAAATATAATAGGATTTCTTAAAAACACAAGTGAACTAGAATTACACCTCCTTCCCCCCTATTCTTTGCTATCACTTTGGTGAATAAGATCAACATCTTTCTGCTTATTATGTCTCAGGCACTTACCACATGGGCTGCTGTCTTTCAGGAAGTGTGCTTTGATATCTGCACCAGGATGGCTCAACTATTCACTGAATAAGCATTTACTGAACATAAGGTATGGGGTGGGCACCATATGACATATCAAGAATGATAAAGAATGATCGCTGAGAAGACAGTCTTGAAAGAAAAGTCAAGGGCTTGGAGTTCAGGTCTGTGACTCTGCCCCTTATGAGCTGTGAGACCCAGGACAAGTTATATGGACTCCCTGAGTATCCGTTTCTACATCTCAGAAATACGCAAGATAGGTGCTGTTTTCTCCCTAACACTTTCTCACAGAATGGCACCAATGGTTGGGGTTGTTTTTCCAACAGCAAATAACATAAGCCTCACTCTGAGGAAGTGAGTTCAAATCAAATGGAAGACTCAGTAATAGAAGCTGGCAATAGAACCCTAGGGCAACCCCCACGTCTGACTCGGGCACTGATTAGCTGTGTGATTGTGGTCAGTTCACCTCCACTGACTGGGCCTAAATGTCCATATCTTGTCACATGAGTTGGGCAGACCAGATGAGGAGCTCTGAAGACCCTTTTAGCAGTGAATTTGTTTATAACTCTACTCTCTTGGACAGGTAAGATGGGAGGGCTCACTTGAATTCTTTAGGCCTAGGGACAGAGTGGTAGATGGAAGACTTGAGATGTCCCAGGTCTAATGTCGGAGGAGACCAACATGACTTCTGGGGCCTAGGCACCTTTGCCTTCAAGGATCGGTTCCTTGATTACCCAAAACTAAAAAAGTATGTTATGACTGTATGGGTATAAAGATAAACATAATCCAGAATCAATGATATATTTCTTTCTTTTGATATAAAAAATAAAACTTTATACAGCAGTCCTCTGAAGTTGTCATGGACCCCAGGCACTATCCCTACTGTGTCTAATGGATAAGTTGGTCCTGCGAGATTCTCCTAAAAGTGGTGGTACATTTTACTCCAAGAACATGTTGACTGCAAGCCAACTGAAGCTTGCCTTCCTTCTAGAGAAGAGTTTCTCAACTTCAGCACTACTGGGGTTTGTTCTAGATAATTCTTTGCTGTGGGGGCCGTCCCGTGCGTTTCTGGCCTCTGTCCACCCTATGCCAGTGGCATATCTACCCTAGTTGTGACCATCAAAAATGACCCTAGATGTCGCCAAGTGTTCCCTTGGAGGTAAAATCATCCATGGTTGAAAATCACTATTCTAGAATATTCATATTAGATGATGTTCTTTCTACCTTTTGTTAGGAGCTCATGATCTTCTTGGGCAATGGCGTTTCGGACCACTCTTGGTAAAAGATGGACGGATAAGGCTCTCTCCATTCTAGCCCCCAGTACCTCTCTGAATCTGTTCTTCCTGATGCCCTCATGGCCCCAGCCTCCCTGACCTCCTTGCTGTGACTTGAACCTGCCAGACACACTACCACTCACTGTCTTAGGGCCTTTAAAATGAGACTTCCTTCTACATAGAACATGCTTCCCTGAAACAGTGCACTCGGTTAACTCTCTTGCCCTCTCGTCTTTGTTTAAATATTATCTTATCAATGAGGCCTGTCCTAGCCACTGTTTTAAAAAGTACTGCCCTATTCCCTAGAATTCCTCTTCCCCTTCTGTCTCCCCTCTTTTTCTCCCCCGCCCATAGCACATTGCCTTC